GGCGCGGGGTGGAGGGCGCCCAGCCCCGCTCTTACCTTCCGCCGTCCTGCCCGTGCTGAACTCCTTCAGTTTGTCCTTGTCGCTCTCTACGTGGTCTTTGAAAAGATGCACCGGGCAATGGTTGCTGCTCTCGGTCATGTCCTGCAGGTTAGAGTCAGAGTTTCCAAGCTCCCTAGAGCGAGCCAACCCACTCTCCAAAACTTCCCTGTACGTGATCGTTTCCTTCTTGTTGCTGCTGCCACTGCCGCTACTGCTCTCTTTGCTTTTCTGGTCAAAAGATTTGGATACAAAAGCCGTAAGTTCTTCCATGGCTGCCCGGTGATCTTATCCACAGAGATCCACTTGTTTTCAGTCGGAGATGTGGCCGTCCTCCGCACGCTGTTTTTGCACGTAGAAGATGGGCTGTATAGGGTTAGATCACTCCTGCTGTTATTTATGCCTTTCAATTTGAGATCACACTATTTATACATGGCTACCTCAGCCCAACCCCCAGCTCTCCCTGTCTCCAGCAATTACTGACTGCTCCATAGTCGCAGGCGGACTCCTAGCAGCTATCTCCCCCACCTCAGTCCAGCAATTGGCTTTCTTTTCATTTCATCACTCTTTGGCATCTTTGCACCTTGATTTAGGGAGGCAAAGAGGCAAAAGCGAAAAAGAAGGGGAGAGAGAGAGGGAGAAAGAGGAATAAAAGGGGGGGGGGGAGAGGAAAACATGAAAATAGGTATCTGCATTCTGTAAACGGGTTGCAGAAATGAAAGTCGAGGAAGACTTAATTGATTGTAAGGACATCCTGTGCGTGGCAACACTGTGAGTAAAAACGGACCTAGCTAATCAAATAACTGCGCTCCTGCAATTAAATGTATCGCTGTCAAGAGGAAAAGAAAATGAGTGTTCAATAAAAAAGGTAATGAATAAAAAGCTGGAGATGTGCATTGGTTGTAATCATTGGAAATTCTACCTGATTTGCTATTTAGTTAATTTCGCTTAATTCAATGGTCAAAATAATACGCGAACCAAAAATGCTGTTTTAAAAGTGTTGCCTGTTCTGGCGGGTGGGTGGGTGCGCGGAGGGGGACGTGTGTTGCAGTTAAACAAGTTGTGAGGTGTCTCGGAGATCCGTGTCGGTGTTTTCGGAAGATTTGGAGGGGGTTGCTTGGCTGGGGAGGGGAGTTATCCATAGATAGGGGGACTCCAGATGCATGTAAACGTTGCAGGATCTGTTTTCTTGTTTACTGTTATTATGTCGTCTGAAGATACTGTTGGGTAACATGAAAATCTAAAATGTTTCTTTGGATGCAGAGCTATCCTGCTGCGTGCAGCAAAGGGGTAATTTGTTAACACGAGAGTTTGTACACGACAAGTAGAGCATTACATCGTCTGGTTCGTTGTTTTGTTTTGTTTTTTTTTTTTTTTTTTTTTTCTTTTTTTTTTTTTCCCCCAACGAAACGTCTCCTGCCTGATTAAAGATAGGACTGGCAATAATTTCCCCACCTTGTTCTTGGTAGGCTGCTGTTATTTTTGCTGTACTCCCGGAATAATTATTATTCTGTGCGCTTGAATAGCTGCCTGAAATTCATCTCCAGATAACAGCGCCGGCATTTCCAGCGCCTCTCCGCACCATTTGATCCTCACGCGGAGCCGACTTTCCAGCTATTTCTAGCTCCTCTCCTCGGGCTTTAACGCGAAGGGTTATTTGGTATTTGGACGGATTTTGTCTTCTGGTCGTTTGGCTTTTTACCTCCTTCTCATTCCCTCGCCTCGAATTTGAGATAATCAGAGCTCATCATCACGCCACCCTCTGCTCTAAATCGCAACCAAAGGAGGCTCCTTGCTGGAGCAAGGGGCCATTGTTTCTTTTCCGGGGGAGCGTGGGACTGCTCTGAAAATTAGCAGAACATGAAAACACTAAAAATGCGTTTAATTAATCCAAAGGTGCCCTCAGCACCAGAGTTAACACCTCCACAGGAGGAGGGGAAAAAATAATAATCGAGGAAGCAATTAATAAAGGGCTTTAAAAAAAAAAATCAATCTCCCCCTGTGTGAATTTAAAATGATTATCTAGGGGACAAGGATTGATCATTTGATCTCGGCACTGCGGATATCCCTGACATTTATTATATTGTGCTGTCTCGGTGGCATCCTTCCTCCAGAGTTCATTTAACAAGTGAGGGAGCCGAGGAAGCCTTACAACTTAACAAACAGGTCTTGTCATCGCAAACGCCAATCAAATCCGAGGCTCTAATGTATATCACACGGCACCACATAAATAATAAAGGCAAACGATAGACGTGGAAGTAACGTATGGCTAAAGAAATGCTCCCGGCACGACGCGCTGCTTGTGCCTGTCTCAGGCGGTCCGCGGGT